GTGGAATTGGGTGGGTCGGATGCAAACTTAGTTCCCCTTCTAGAGCTGCCGCCATCCGCCTTAACGTCAAAATTTGTTATATTAGTTTTCATGTGAGATGTCCCGAATAGGCAATTAATTAAATCTACTTATCTTCCCCCTGCACCTTCATTAATTTAGACACTGATTGTACTGGTTTTTCTCGCTGGCATCCTGGTTCCCCTTGTGACTGTCAGCGTATCGGAACCTCCCTGCTTAGCTCCCTTTTCGATCCGTTGACTCTGCCGTCAACTTGAATGAATGTACGTACGTACGTGCTGTAGCAGGCTTTTGTGTCGATTAAAGCAAAAATATACTCGAAAAGAACAGCATGCATGTGATATAATAGTTGGAGACGTTCCAGTGCAAATAGCGCTGGACATTGTGGATATATATGGCATACATCAGTGTGATTGATGTATAATTAAAATATGTAGCATGCATAGCCTACATCAGTATGATTGATGTATAATCGAAATATGTAGCATGCATCAGTGCGATTGATGTGCAATTGAAATAAATTTAGGTCTTATCGGAGAATGGCAAATAAAATAACTTTCAAACCTTATCAACTAAAAAGATTTTTAGAAAGGTTTTACCCTAAAAGAGTTAGCCAATATCCTAGAAGTCAACAAAAAGACTATCCAAAGAAAATTTAAAACCTTTCAATAAGCCTAAGCAAAAAAGAGGTCGTAAAAAGAAAATCATTGGTGGAAGCTTAATGTTTTTGCTTTCTTTTACTTCCTATCGTTTTTCTGATAATACTCTAACTCAACGAGAAATGGCTATTTATATTCAGCAAGAAAAGGGAATTTCAGTTAGCTAGCAGACTATCTCTCGAATTCTAATTTACTGAAAATGAACTAAGAGAATAAAACGCTTGCCCTTAACTCAATTGATGTATAATTGGCATTTTCACGACCAGGGTAAAATCGCCACCCAAAAAAGTTTTGAAAATCGTGATATTGTCAATTCATCATGATTACTAGGATCATGATAATAATAATATTTATAAGATATTAATTGATTTAGTATTTTTTTCTCTTCGATTCTTCAAAATGAAAAACGATCGTTTCATTTCGACAAACCAAGTGATTCTTTTAAGGGCATAAATTAAATATTTTAAAAATATCCGTAACCAACTTTTTACTAATAATAAACGAAAAAAAAAAATGAATGAAAGTCGAAATAAAGGGAATGCAATTGTACCAGAAAACCCTGTAGATTTTATTTTTAATGCTCTTCCGGAAGACTATAACTCTGATTATTTATTTGAACAAAAGTTTTTATAATTTTGAATCCAGAACGCAACAAAAACAAATTATTAGAGAAAACATAATGAATCCAAATAATAACAAATGGCTCGCTAGTATTAATAAAAACTTAACGCCATTGCATAAATTGGAAGAGGATTATAATCATTTTAAAAGGCAATGGAATATTCCAAATATTTATAAAAACCGTAATCATAATATTCTAGCTGTAATAAATATCACGTTTATTGAGTTTATTCGAAATAAACAAAATTGCTTATCGTTATTATTTTAGTCTATAAATTTTTTTTTCGTTTGCATTTTTACAAGAATTTTTTGTGCTCAATATATTTGCCACATGATGTTCGAAACTTTTTGGTTGCGATTTTACCCGGTCGTTTTCACCCACTTAAAGCAGGCCGGCTGTTAGCCAGAAGCTCTGTGGTTAAATTAGAGATGCATAATAATAATCTTAACCGGTGATTTCCTTCCTCCGTGATGCAGGCCAGCTGTCAATCTGAAGGATTTGCAAAAAATGGAGGGGAGAGTGCGAATTTGCTTCGCCTTGATAGACCACCCAGTTTTATTTGTCTTATTATTGGGGGTTAAAGCCAGGTGCATTTATAAACTTAGAAATGGTCTACATGCTGCATAAATTATATTCTTGATATTTATATAAACCCCTCACCATTGCTGCATCAAAAAAGTATCCCTAACTGCATCAAAAAAGTAATTATAACGCACCTTGCTTTAGCCATCCCCGATTTTATATATAATCACCGACTCCGTCGGATCCGGATTGTTTGAAACATATGTGCGTATGATTGGGGTTTATGATATACTAACGCTAATTGATCAAATCTATGTAAAGTATATATTGCATAGTAGTGCAGATTTTTATAGATCGGCAAAATTGTTAGCGAAGACTAGTGTTCAAAAAAATTGCAGCATCTCACGTATCAACTATTTTTTTCAAGCAATTTATACATCAAATGATTAATTTAATATAATTAAACAAAGCAATAGTTTTAAATTTTTAATAAAAAATTAAAAAATACTGTGAATTGTTCAAGCTAAAAAAATGAATTGGCTTTATTAAAAAAAATAAAAATAAAAATTTTAATCTATGCTTTGTTTAATTATATTAATCTAATCGTTTGATGTATAAATTGCTTGAAAAAATAGTTGATACGTGAGATGAAGCAATTTTTTGAACACTAGTCTTCGCTATATTTAACGATTTTGCCGATCTATGTATAAAATATGCACTACTAGTTTTTATTACAATATACTTTACATTGATTTGATTAATTGGTATATCATAAGCCCCAGCGTATGATCTACATTCTTTGTCGCTCCAGCTACCTTGCACGAAAATTATAGGCATCATTGTTAGGGTTAGACGTCGATTTTTGATATAAAATATCCGAGTTATTTCCGAAATAGCACAGACATTTCATATTAAAAACTAATGTCGAAATACTTTCGGCGAAATATTTTCTACGGCATGTATAAGTTAGCACAAGTTATAAAACAAACTTGTATGTGCAATGAGCTGTCGGTAAAACAAACTATGAAATGAGTTGTCTGTGAATTGATCGTCTGTAAAATAAACTTGTCGGCGAATTGTCTGAAATAAGGCGTCTATGAAGTGACTGTCATTGAAGTGATATGAATCTGATCCTCCAGAAATATATATCAATATTTTTCTATAAGGCCATACAAACTTAATAAATCGGTTCTCATAACCCGGCCGGGTCAAATTTTACAAAACTTTAAAAAAAATTTTAAGTATATTTACTATCCGGGTGGGTTTTTCTAAAAAATTTATAAAAAATTTTATATGTTCTTTATATAGAAAATTTTTTGAAAATAAAATTAAAAGCCGGGTTGCCGGGTCACTTTCAAAAATTTTATGTTATGAGAACCGATTTATTAAGTTTGTATGGCCTAATGTCAATGGCAGATTACGTTATCAAAATTAATATTATAACTATTAACTGGTGTTTTCCGTTGTGAAGTCACAAAGAATTACCAATTGGACTAACACATGAAGTTCCTAGTATATATCATACAGGATTGTCATGTTTATTATGTTTGTTCTATTGGCTTATAATTCTATTTATGTTTTATTTTTCTATTGTAAATTTTTAGTATTAAATTTTACAAATTAAATATAAAAATATTTTAAATTTATTACTTTACTAATGCTCTAACAATATATGTTTGAATAATTACAAATTATTAATAAAAAAAAATTTTTATATAAAGACAAAAAATTAAGCTTTTGTTCTATTGTTTTGTTTGCCAACACTATATATATCTTATTAGCATCTCTGTAACTCTATCCTACAGTGGTGTGGTTGTATTTGATAAGTCAAGATATCATACTTCAATAGTAGCAATTAAGACTGAGTCCAACCACTAAAGAATAAAGTTAGTACCAACTAATAAACTAGTAAATTGGTATCGAGGTTTGGGAAAAAAATTTCGATAAATTATAATATGAAAACATCCAGGCATAAGATTACGTAATATGACCGTATTTCGCGTAATAACGCTTATGAGCGTTATTGCAACCCTTAAAAATAACATAAGTTATTTGGCTTTAAAATAAGCACATATACTTATTTATAGTAATAAATCAAAAAAAATGCTCTGAAACTAGGTTTGGTATTAAATAAACATACTTTTGGGCTTTAACAAAGATTGTTCTTCAGATTAATGACTGGGTTCGTCAATCGTAACTCAAATAACTCAAATTTATCATTCTCCGAATCATGAAATTTAACTCGCGAGTTACTCGCAAATTAATTTAATTTACAAAATTTTTCACTAAATCAATTTCATAACTCGAATACTGAATAACTCGAAAAAATCTAATAACTAACAGTCAATTATATGATCCGGGTACTCTTCTGAATTCGCGAGTTACGAGTTGAAACGAGTCAGTCATTACTTCAGAACTGGACAGATTCTAATGGTAAAAATGATCCAATAGATCGCTCGTTATAACTCTAAAGTTTTATAATGTTTGTTAATCTTGGTTTATATGAACATAAACAAACTTCATAGTTATTTCGAGCGATGTATTGGACCATTTTTAATGATCTTACCACCATTAGAATCCATCTCGATCTGAACAACATCCTTTGTTAAAGCCCAAAAGTAGGTTTATTTAATATAAAACCTAGTTTCGTTGCATTTTTTTTTTTGTTTGATTCCCACGCGCGTACTCTAATAATGCGCATATACTCAAAATGAGCGTTATAACGCGAAGATACGGTATGTTTGTTTGTATTAACATTAAATAGTTTCGATACTATGTTTAGCTTGAATGGAAAATCGATAATAAGGAAAAGCTAGGAAAACGTGATCTCATGTGACAATTATAGCAACTACGATCTTTTGGACGATTCTTGCAATAATTATTTCATTCTGATTTATAACTATTATTACCACTTGACTTTTCTATACTAGTTCACATGCTAACGGAAATCATTTTAATAAATATACAAAAACATTTAAAATTTCATATTAAATTCTCGTGACAATCTTCAAAGGTTGTGTTTTGTGGTGTTTCATCCAATTGCGTTTTATTAACTGTATCCTTAATTGTCAGATATATATAAATTTCATTATTTTATATAAACCTTTTATTTAAAGAAATTCTCTTATGTAATGGTATAAAAAAAAAAAATTTGATTTTTTTTTGTTTTTTTGAAAATAATGGCGACAGATCCTAGTCGTTCGAATCAACCTCAACCTCCACAACAAACAGAACCACCAAAAACACAACCACCACCACCACCACCAACAGAACCACCAAAAACACAACCACAACCACCGCCACCACCACAAACACAACCACCACCATCACCAACAGAACAACCACATTCAAAACCACCACCACCACCACCACCAATATCTACACCGTTATCAAATCCAACCTCAGGAGCATCGCAACCGCAAATTACTTCACTCTTAGAAGTAGGAACGTCATTGTATAGTCAAACAAATCCAACCCCAGTAAACCCCTCAGCAACTACTCACGGTGGTAGGGTTGTGCCAAATGGCGGACTCCAAAATAATTCACCATCAGAATCAATCTCACCTGGATTAATTGTTGGATTAGGAATAGCAGGAATTTTAGTGGTCGGCTTAATAGCATTTTTCGTAAGAAAGCGATTAAAAGCATTAAATTATAATAAACATAGAAGCTTCTTGAATGATGATTTTAATGAAATGTTTAATGTTGGGTCAACAGAGCAACATACTGCAAATTCTAATGCCAATAGCGGTAATACAAGGAATTTAAATAGCTCGACATCTAGGTCGAGGACAAATAATGATGTTAGAAGAGTTCAGAATGTTGATCCTAATATCAACAGATCAAATAGTAGACCATTAAATAACATGACGTCTAGTCCTACTAATATGCCGTTAACGAATAATAATAGGGGTGGCGAAAGAGCTCATATGACGTCGACGTCGAGAATGAATAATAATAGAGGTGGCGGAGGTGTTTATAATTCTAATAATAGCGGGTCAAATAGACCTTGGCCGAATAATCATAGAGGTGGTGAGGGTGTTCATAATTTTAATAACCGATCAAATGATATATCTATAATAAACAATCGAGTTAATGTCTCCTCACCACTAGCCTCACCTCCTCTAACTTCAATGAGTAATGCTTATGGTAGCAAAGTATCAGAAGTGACAACACCTTATCATCCAGCTATCTCCGTTGAGCAACCGTCTTTCGGCAGACCACCACCTTTGGGAACACCGTATGTGCATGGAGTATCATTGCCACCACCGCCTACTTTATTGCCAGAAAATAACATGGGAGGATATGGTGCAGAAATTAGGAGTAATAATATTAATATAATACCTTCATCTTCACATCAACAATATCAACAGTATAATTCAGCTGGCATTAATACTCTTCCACCACACAATTATTATAATGTGAAAAACGATCCAACATTTTCAAAATTTAACAATGAACAGTTTGTAACAAGTGAATATTCAAAAAAGATTCCAGAATATTTTTCATCGAATAATTAATCATAATAATAATAATAATAATAATAATTTTTTAGGTGATGAAAGTAAAGAACCTTCTAATGTAAATAGAAATATTACTGTAAACCGTGTTGAAGGTATACCACGAAGGGAAAATACCTTAGGTGGAAAATCTTTTGGAAGTTTTGATTATGGCGATTATGGTGAGAATTGAGCTCAAAGAAAAAAAAAAGAAAACCGATAAATCATGACTTCACAATATAGGAACATTATTAAACTAAGAAATAATATAAATATCATTATAGACTTTAATCTTTAATTTAGCAACAATTTTCTTCATGATTTTGATTTATCAATGTTTTTTTATGCTGGTTATGCCGATTAATAATAAATTTTATTTTCACCGGGTTAAAGCCTCTCACTTGGCCAAATTAATAGTAGTTTTGGTTACATTGTTTCGTACTAATATTTAATATCGCAATAATTTTATTATAAGTTGTAGTATAATATAAAAATCTATTTTTTAAAAAAACAAATATATTTATAAAACCATCTTTTGCGCTTTAATAAAAAACTTTTGCCAAATTTTGATATACAATAAATTAGACTTTACAAATAAGGGCTTAGAAAAATAATTACAAATAGAGACCCAAAAAATAAAGGGTATTACATATAGGAATCTAAGAATCAAAAGTTATTACGAACAAAATCTATTTGGTCTCTATATATAACTAACCCACATATATAAATTGTGATTTATATTTTTCGCTTTGTTTTCAATTTATTGGTTACAAAATTAGTTATCGTTTTATAACAAAATTTCGTATGAAGAACCACGGGGAGCGTTGCATAGCGCTGCGTATAGTATCATACGTGACAAATAATGTAGAGCAATTTATAGTACTATGTATACGTGATTTTTTGATTTTTTACTATATATGTAAAAAATAGTGTTATATTGGATACTACGCGCATGTAGATAAAGTTAAGTGTAACTATTATACATAAAAGTTATACATATAATAAAGCTATAACGAGTTATATATAGTCTTTGGGGTACGGATTGGGTTTGAGATTGGGTTTGGGTATACGGAAAGAGAAATTATAATGTTATAGTAGATTGATTGTTAGCGCGATTGAGTAGTGAGTGTGTAAGTTATATTGAAGATTAACTCAGCGTAGTTTAGGGAAGAATTCATAGATCATTAGATGCGGTAATTTGTTATATTTTATATGTCTAATCTTTAGATATATAAAAATTGGATCTTAACACGAAATTGATTTTTAAAATTAAACATTATAATCTACATATATAGGTATAAGCATATATGTTAAAAATAAAAGAATAAAAAATAAAAAATATTTAGATAAAGTTTTGTAAGCCATTGTTGTATACTATTTGTAATCTCTTGTATTTATTTTTTTTTGATGTTAAGGTGACCTCTTAATCACGTTCCTTTTATTCGATTATAGTTTAACTTTTACAGTATGGTATACACTATACCGTATACATATTTGGAGAGTACAACTAGCCACACATATAACTTTTTGTTGTCTATTTAAGTAGTCTGCATATAGATAGTACACTATAGGTTTTACACTAGATGTCATACCTATAACCTGACTTTGGAGTTATCTATTTAAACCTTTTGTGCCTATGTATATTATCCTTCTAACTGAGCAAGTAATAGTGCTTCTTATTTTTGGATACTGACTTAAAACTTTAAAGCAGGCTTATACTCTATAAAAAGCTCTTTATCTTCAAAGTAAATCTGTTAGAGCCTTCTATATTTACAATCTGACTAACCTAGATTTTAGTAATTTATATCAAGTTCAAAGATAAGTACTTGCAATTTTTTATCTTTGCTACTATTATTTACTTCTACCTTTTTTTAAATTATATATTTATTTTTACAATTATATGAATTTATTTAAAATATTTTGAGTATATCAAATTTTTAAAAATTGCAATATTAAACTATACAAACTTAATAAATTGGCTTTTATAATCTGGCTGGTTTAAATTTTGCAAAATTTTTAAAATTTTTATATGCTTTTTATATATCAAAATTTTTTAAAAATAAAATTAAAAGCTGAGTTGTCAGATTGATGAGTTA